GCAATCTAACTTTAAAATATTGTCATCACCCTAATGAGAAACTCTATAACCTCCTCCATCCAGCCTTAGACAACCACTAATCTACTTTCTCTCCCTATGGATTTGCCTATTCTAGACATTTTATATAAATGGAGTCATACAATATATGGTCTTTTGCGCCTGGCCTCTTTGCATAATATTTTCAAGGCTCATCCATGTTGTAGCATGGATTAGTACATAATTCCTTTTCATGGCCAAATAATATTCCATTTGTGGACATACTACATTTTATCCATCCATCAGTCGATAGAATTTTTAACACTTAAAAATTAATGGAGTTAATATTTACATTTAGTAAGAGCCCTCACATATATTCTCATATGGAGCCTCACAGTAGTTTTTTCAAATAAGTATTGTTATAGTCACCACCATTTTATAGGTGAAGAAATAGAGGCTCAGAAAGCCTAAGTAACTTTCCTGAGATCACATAGCAACTAAGTACTAGAACTGAGACTCAAACCCAGTTTATCTGACTCTGAGTCATATGTTTTCATCCTTATTGCCACATGTTCGCCTCCCCCCAACCCTGTGCAATCCCTTGGTGATTTTGTTTTAAAGCAAAATTACATAGTAGCTAGTTGCTAGTTTTTCTTTGCTTGATTTACTATACTATTAGATATGGGAGATGGACTTGAAAAAACTTTTAATGTGACCTCTCCCAGTAACTTTGTGGATAAGTAGGGGATGTATTTTAGGTAATAATATACCTCAGTAGCTTTAGCAACAGACAGAAAAATTATGCAAGAAGCAAAATGCTCAACCAATCAAAGTCCACCTATGGGGACAAGTCCAAGGATGTGTTGGAGGGCTCACTTCTCCATGCCCTGAAAAATTTTATTAGTGACCTAGATAAAACTATGTTTATATTAGAAGATCTAGTTTATCATATTTGTAGGAGTCCCAAAATTGAAATTATTGGAATTTTATATATCTGGTTGTGTCATACACAGAATATGCTCAATAAAATCATTTTGTAGTGATAACATACATTGTATCTTGGGTTCCTTTAGGGTTCTGTAGCTATCGCTGGTGCTGTTACTCGCTGGCTAAGAGACAATCTTGGAATTATAAAGACCTCAGAAGAAATTGGTGAGTATGTTCCAAGAAAGGGTTAGGAAATTTGAAGAATGAAACATTTCAGTATTTTATCTTTGCCATCTGTAAATACTTATGCATTGCCCTGAATGTGATCCATAAATTATATGGATCCCTATTATGAGTTTGACTTATACAGAGAAGACTATTTTGCGAAGATTTATAAAACAATGAATTGATATTATTAGTGGTAGTTATTAATAAACTGGCAAGGTAGGACATAAAAATTACCCAAGTGTAAAATTGAACACTGGAGATTGCCAGAATCTGCAGGTAAAGTACTCTAGTTAAATTTATCTGATGAGAAAGAGCTTTAACTCCTAGATTAGTGAGCATTAAAACTCTGGTACCTTTAATTTAAGTATTAATATGGCTATTTTCAGTCTATGGATAATTGGTTTGAACGTAACTACTCACTCTTTTATCCACTTGTTTAAGTTTTCCTGAAGGTGAGACAATCAGAAATACGTTTCTGATTTGGAACACACTGGAGGCCACTTTTTCATCTCCTAGTCAGCAACCTTAAAAATAATGGAAATGACATAAACTACCTAAAGAAATGAATCCAGTTGTTTGATTTCTTGAGCTGGGTTACATGTTAGTGGGGGTGTTTAATGTGGGGAAACTTGTTTTGGTTGCTCCTAGCATACTATAATTAGCAATACTTTGCCAATGAATCAGAAACTAAAATCCCTGTCCTAATTTTAAAATAGGTATGTTTATGTAGTAAAGTAGGATATTAGTGTGATTTTTTGTTGTTGTTTTTCCTTTTTTAAATCTTAGAAAAACTTGCCAAAGAAGTAGGTACTTCTTATGGCTGCTACTTCGTCCCAGCATTTTCAGGATTATATGCACCTTACTGGGATCCCAGTGCAAGAGGGTAAGTATTGAAAATACTGTGTTTTTTGAGGTCTTGATTTATTTACTAAAGTAGTTAATAACTAATTAGTTTCCTATGTATTTTCAAATGATTTTAAAGTGTTGAGAAAACTTTTTCTATTCAGAGAATAGAATTTCAGAACCCTTAAGCTCCAAGAAGTTATAAATCAGCTGACAATAACCACTGCCATATCCATTTTCATGTTAGGGGTGTTATTGTCTTTTATCTTTAAGGTGTCTGCAAGTTGTATAGCAAAGGGACATCATCTAAATGAATACTGGAATGCTGAATTAGTTTTATGTTAGTGTCATTTATTCAGATGGATCATGAACATTTTTGTATGTGGATGCAGGATTGTAGACTATAAGGACTTTCTGAGTTACTTAATGATTATGTCCAGTTTTCTTTTCCTGGACATTTCTGTCTACCAAGTTTGACCTTTACATATTTGAGACACTTCAGATTGATGATTTGTTTATACCACTCTAATCTGAAAATCTTTTTGTTTATTTTCAGGATAATCTGTGGACTCACTCAGTTCACCAATAAATGCCATATTGCTTTTGCTGCTCTAGAAGCTGTTTGTTTCCAAACCCGAGAGGTAATAAACATGGGCCTGTTTTCTTTTACTTAGCTCACTTTTACCACTCTTAAACAAATTATATATTAATACCCGATTTTATTAAATACTGAAAATGTAGATCATCAAAAATTAAACCTGCCTAAACACTAATCTAAACATAAGTACTTCCCCCCACCCCTTTCAGCTGTCATTAGCTTCTAAGTTCCTGTTCTCTGCCAGGCACTGGGCATTTTATGGTTGAGGGGAGGCTGAGTGGTACATATTAGGCAATGGAAATGGCACAAACATAGGCATCAAGGCAGGAAAGTGGGGTATAAAATAGAGTTATTTGGCTTAGGTGAATATCATTGAATGTAGAGGTATAGGGATAGAAAATGTTGGCTGTGACCAGATCAAGGAGGGCTGGGAAGACCAGAATAAGAAGTTTCAATTTTATTCTGTAGGCTATTATAAGCTCTTTTTTCCCCCTATTTATTTTTTTATTTGTATATATTCATGGGGTACAAATTCTCAGAAGCTCCTGAGAGTTTTTGAGTGGAGGATTACCATTTTCAAACATATTATTGTGAAATAGTTTCATAACATTAATTGCATTGGTTTATTTAAGATTTTGGATGCCATGAATCGGGACTGTGGAATTCCACTCCGTCATTTGCAGGTAGATGGAGGAATGACCAGCAACAAAATTCTTATGCAGCTACAAGCAGACATTCTGTATATTCCAGTAGGTTAGTAAGCCTTCATTCTTTTAAACTCCCAGAGTAATATTTCTTTCTGAAGAACTAGTTCTTTAGGCATATGTAACTGCAAAGATGTTGATGTAGCTCTCTCCCCTCAGTGAAGCCCTCAATGCCTGAAACCACTGCACTGGGCGCTGCCATGGCAGCAGGGGCAGCAGAAGGAGTCGGCGTTTGGAGTCTAGAACCCGAGGATTTGTCAGCTGTCACGATGGAGCGGTTTGAACCTCAGATCAACGCTGAGGGTACATTTAAAGAATGAAACTTTTAATGGTATACTGTGAAAAGGACCTTAGCGTGAAGGAGTTTGCCTTCACAAAGTATTTATAAGAAATAAAGTAAAATAGCAAATGTTACTGTTTCACATTCAGCTGCTAAGCATATTGGGCTATACTATACTAAATAAGTGTGAATGAGAGAAATAGTTCCTTATTTAAAAACTTGTAAAACCACTTTTTAAAAACCATGCACTTCTACCATTTACAGTTCTTTTGTATAGGAGAATAACACTGCTACATTGTTAGTTATAGCTGATTAGAATAGCCTGTTTTAAAAGTGAGAAGGGAGATATATCAGCCACCCACCCATAATGTCTATACCAGATTATCTTTGGTACCAATGGCCCAGCTTTAGGACATAATTAGCTGGGCTGACAGATAGTCCAGTAACTTTTAAGCACAACAGGACTAGCATGACAAGGGCAGCAACAATTTAGGTAAATGAGCATTAAATATTTAATTCATTTTCCTAACAAGCTAAGCCACAAGCTTTGATCAACCCCTTTCCTAACATATAGTGACACATCTCTTATATTGAAATAAATGTGACTAGAAAAATAAGGTTTTATATATTGAATTTGGTTTTATAACTTTTTAGAAACCTATGTCTAAAATAGTATCAAAGTGGATTTTGAGCTATTGGGAAATAAGCTTTCAAATGCATTTCTGTTTAGTTTTCTGGAAGACTATGCCAGTATTTCTTAATTTTATTCGTTCTTTTCCATATATAAGAAAATGAATTATAATACCAGTAATTTTATAGTCAGACAGTATACCATATTACCATATACCTTGATGTAGAAATGTGTTTCAGAATCTGATATTCTATCATTTTTAATTTTTACAATACTGCATAAAATATGAGGTTCAAAACAATTTTCTATTTTTGAAAAAAAAATCAACTTTTTAATAAGCAAATAACATCCAGAGCGGGCGTATGGCCTCCAAAGGAATCCGGCTCTTAAAACAAGGAAGTTTTATGCCAAGGAGTAAGCGTGACTATTTTCTGAGGAGAGCCGTCTTTGCTGCCGTTGAAGGCCTTAGCCTGGAGTTGATCAGTTGTGCCAGTTGTCTTCCCTCTCACCAGCCTCACATACACTAATGGGCACCTGGGTATAGATAGTTCATTCTTCCAGCAAACAGTTGTTTAGAGACAACTACAGGCCAGAGGCTGTTAGGACATGGGGATATAGAGATGAATAAGGCCAAGTCCTTGCCCTTCAGAAGACTCAAGTGTATTGGAAAAGGTAGGCAACACCATAAAAATTCAGTGTGGTAGCTGACACCTTGAGGTATGTGTGCAGTGCTGTGACGGGTGGCTAGAAGTGACGTACTGGAAAGCTTTCTGAAGCCGGTGATCCTTGAGCCTTGTCTCCTGGGTGTTGCAGGCTTCAGGTGCTGTGGAAAGGTTGGGAGAGAAGGGTAGCCCCAATCGTGATTTGGCAACCTTAGGAGAAGTGCAGCATCAATGCTTATTTTTGTTTAGTCATCCTGTTGTGGATTTCCACCTTAAAGAAATTCTGTTTCTAGGTTCCAGGGGGTGGGGGTGGGGGTTGAGGGGTGCGAGAGAGCTATCTCACAGGAATGCACTTTGAATCTTGTGAGAAATCAATATTTTGTTGAGTCCTCTGGACTAAAAACGAATCTCCTTTTAGTCTTTCTACATCATAGCTTACCCCTTCCTTCGTGCCAACCCCCTTCCAGGCCCCCCCAAAAAGAGAAACCAGATCAAATGGGATTTTCCTTTCTAATTTATCACCACTTGTGAGTGGCCTGGTCTGCCTAGCCAGTTGGTCTGTCTGCCCATCTCCCTTCAACATGCTGAATTTCTCCTGTCCTCCAACTTCCAAGCAAGCGTCTCTTCTAGTTGCCAGCAACTGTGTGCTTCCAAATCTGAGTCCTGGTGAAGCCCCTCTTCAGTTTAACGTTGTGCAACAATATGTCAAGAATGCTGAGTGATCATAGGTATGGTACTTAGAACATCTCAGCCAACTGACTTTCATATGTGTGTTTTTCCTACCTTCTAATTCTAGAAAGTGAAATCCGTTATTCTACATGGAAGAAAGCTGTGATGAAGTCAATGGGTTGGGTTACGACTCAGTCTCCTGAAAGTGGTAAAAATGTTTTTGTTTATTGCTACTTTTTCTTAGCATGTTAAATAGTTTATTATTTAAGTATCTAGCCATTTACACTTAGCCAGGCTGCTCTGAAGAAAAGCATTACCATATATCCAAAGTTTCTAACATTTTGAAGACACTTTAAAGTTCTAAACAGAAAATGTAAATTATCAGATTGATGTACATACCGTAACTCTATCCTGCTTTATCTTTCCTTATTAGTTTATTCCTGGTACTTCAATTGATAACTCAATCTTCCAAAAGTAAAATTATTTCTAATTTCTTCTGAATGAAAAAAAATCAACTAGGGTCTTCTTTTTTCCCTCTCTCTCATCGTACTTTACCTTTTTGGGGGGCTGTCTTTGTGACCTAAACCAACTGAAAACTATATTAACTTCAGAGTATATTCTGTTACTTCCTAGGCTGATTCCAAGTACTTAGGGAATGTATGTAATGGGAATTCCTTTGGAATCAAAGGGGAAGAAATATTCCAAACATAGTAAATTAGAAGTGTTATAATAGATTGGGAAATACTCTTGGCCAAAAAAAAAAAAAATAGGGGGCCATTTTACCTTTCAATCACTTAGATAGGAAGGTGTACAGCTTAAGTAAACCATTTAGATGTAAACAACCTTAAGCTGACTTCAATATGGCCTAATATTATAATTCTTTGCTAAATGCAAGATTTGGAACATAATGATTGAAACAATGGCCAATAATAGACTGAAGCATATACTTTAATTGAGAAGAGATTATAAATGAAATAATACTTGCCTTCCAGCCCCAAAGTGAGTATAAAACCACTTTTAATATATGTGGCTTTTAGGAGAAGCTTCTGTAACCATCCACTACACAGATCACTGTGATCTATGCTTTTAATCCTGGGTGTTCCTACTTGAAGCTTTTATTTTTCTCCTAAGTAAGCTTAATATCCTTTTTCTTTAAATTTTTTGTTCTGAAACTCAGCTTTCTTTCCCAAGCTTTCTTTCCACCGTCTGGTGGCAAAGTTTTTCTTGCTATGACTACAATTTTGAGAGACCCCTTACAATTAAACTTCGCAATCATAAGCACTTTTCTAGCACAGTGCTAGTTGCCACAGTGCTAGTTGCGGTTTGAGATATAGCAGATGTGAGCCCTGACTTTTCTAGTTGCCCTTAATTACTGGCCATTGAGAAGTTGAGTTACATAATTTCTTTTACTAGCTGGATTTTTTTAAATGGCACAATCCTCCTATCTCTCCCCTACCCCCAATTTCCATGCCTTCTATACACAGACAAAGCTCTCCTTACTAGCAGTTGAGGACATAATTTTCATTACAAAATTCCCACAAAATCAACTGATCATTCTTTCTTTGTGTACCTTATTATCAATGAATTTAAAATGTCAAGAAAAAGTTGATGAAAGAAAACAAATAATCACATTTCTTCGGTTTCTGCTTATCAGCACTGATGATAAAAGTAATTTGATTTTTTGAGAGTTTTTTTTTTTTTTGCTTTAATTTTGGTTTTGTTTCAGTTAGACTGCAATGGATTTAAGCCAAAATTTAAAAATGTTTTTTGAATTAGATTTATGAAAAACACTCTAACGTGTAATATTTTGGGAGTCTCTAAGCTGCATAATAAACTCAGAATAATAATATTCAATTAATAAAATGCTAATTATATTCCTTTAAGCAATATAAGCTATATGATATAATTATACGATATAATAAGTTATATGATAATAGCAATACAGTTAGAATCCTATTTTAATAAACTTGAAAGGATATTAGAATGGCTACCTTGTTTCTTAGCCTCTTTAAATTGCTTTAATTTATGGAAAGACTATTAGGTTTGCTTAATTTCCAAAGTGCTTTGCCAATTTTGAAGCAGTTTTATATTTATTTTCTTGTTTATAACTATATTTGAATGCATTATAAACACTTTTTAACATACTTTGATGTGTGTTTAACATGTTTTGAAGTGATTGGGAGTTTGATGCTTTTTAGAGAGCTTATCATAGATGATACCTTTTTGGCTCTGGACCCAAAACCCACCAAAACATTTTGCAAACAGGTCAAACTGGTTTAAATGTATTATATAGCTATCAAATAACAAGTATATTATACATGTTGCATATATATATATATATATATATATATATATATATATATATCACTGAAAGGGAAATACCTTCATTAAATAGATACCACCCTAGATTGGTAAGGACCCCTGAATGCAGATAATCCTCAGGATCTTCTCAAACCAGAACTCACTGTAGGGACATCAGAAAAATCGATCATTGTAACTTAGCATACGCAATGGGTTGCTCTAAAGGAACTAGAAAATATATTCCCCTTTTCTAAAATCAAATTAAAATATGGTCTCCACAAATATGGAAACAAAACAAAACCTTGTTTTTTATTTGAAAACGTATTTGAAAACATAACATAAGCTGTGGTAAAATGGAGGAAATGGTTTATGTCCCTCTTTAATAAAAATCTACTTTCTAAGGAGAAAGAAATGCATAGTAAGAGGAAAAAGTCCTCTTTCAAAAAAGGAAAGAAATGACTATCAGCAGTTTACTATATAACAAAATATGCCCACAGAGAATCTTTAACTAGCTATACTTCAATGAAGCCCCTTTGTCTAATAGTTGTATGTTCTTAACTCTTAGACATTATTTTTGAATAATATTCTCTTTTAAAGAATGTTAAATATTCTAGATATGTAATTTTCAAATTTAGAAAAGGAATGATGTTTAAAGGAAGGGGTTCCAAGAGAATTCAGGTTAGAAAATATCAAAATAATCATGTGCTCAGGTAATTTTTAAATGTAGACTAATACAAGTTAGTTTTTCAATTACATTAATATTTTCAGGTGCATTTCCTTACACACCAAGTTCTGTTTTAAAAATAAAACTGAACCAATATTTTAGCAAAAATAGGGTTTAAAATTCATTTTCAGTAGACTGATAGAACTCTTCTCTGATATCCAAAGGACCAATAATTTGAACTTTGGGGGAATTGAATTGCTCATTTAGTATCTTTGGGGAAAAATCAAGAAAGCTAAAATCCACAGCCTCCCAAAAAAGTTCTCCATAGGCTCTCTTTGGTATTGCCAATGGAAGGTTAATGTTGGTCTATATGTATTATGTTCTTGGCTATTTGTGGCATGCTATCTGTATTGTTTGTTAACTGTCATAAGCCTTAAATATTGATTATATTTTTGATTTGAAGTAATAACTCTTTGCTAGCTTTTATGAATATACTATTTTTATGATTTGTTTTGCTATCTTGTGATTCTTAACACAAATATTGTAATTATGTGTCTCTCTTTTGGTTTGCTTGACTGGAATTCTCTTCTGCTTGGATGACCACAGGTGACCCTAGTATCTTCTGTAGTCTGCCCTTGGGCTTTTTTATAGTGAGTAGCATGGTAATGTTAATCGGAGCAAGGTACATCTCAGGTTAGTTACTCTTTAAATTAGACAATTTTATTAGTTAGCATTAACGTATTTGTGTATAACAGAAAATGTTCAGTGTTTTTCATTCTTTCTATGTTTAGGAACCTGGAAAATCAATTAAAGGTCTAATTAGATAGACCAATTAATCTTTGGGGTGGTTAGAATTAAGGACTATGACTCTGCTTAACCTTTTTTATTTTTAGTGAGTGATGATTTCTTTGAGGGGCTACATTTTGCTTTCAGCAACAGAAATAAGCATAAAGTGAGAGTACTAATGTTTAAATAAAAAGACTTTCAGAATGACTGATGAAAGTTAAAGTATAATTTTGACATTAACTAAATTGGCTTTCAAATATATATAATTGTTTTTCATACTCCTGAAAATTTGCTAAACAAGTCTTAATATTTCAATTCTGGCAAGAGTTTCAAGCCAGAGCATGTTAGCAGAGTTCCTGTAAACCTCTAAAACTGGGGAATATTTATAGTCACTTTTATTTTAGTTAAAAGAGAATACATTTTATGAACTGAAGTTTTTAAAATTATTGCTTAAATAAATTGGGGTTGAAATGAAAACTGAATTATTATTTTTGAACATTAACTTCTAAATATTCTTATAAAAGTAAAATGGTCAGCATGTTATGAGATACGTTGCATAATCTGTGTTAATTTAAATTTAATGGCCATTTTTGGAGGCTGCTCTGATGATAGCTCAATTTTTTTCAAATTACCGGTTTAAAATGGAAATGACTTATTTCTTAATCCATATGTTTTTATGAAAATGAAGCTTTTTAAGACAATCTTTATGATTAAGGAAAGAGTTAAATCATCTCCCTTAATTAATATGATGATGACCTGGGTTTAAAATATAAAATTTAAACTTTATTCAGGTTGGCATTTTCAATTTAGTGTTATTTGTAATATGGAATGAAAATTATGTCATCACAACATTAGATTATCTTTTAATGAGAAAATTTGGATTACTTGCATGAGAATTTAAAACTAGATTATATTACCTTTTTCTGTATTCTTCATATTAAAGCATATTCAGAATAAATTTGGCCGGGCGTGGTGGCTCACGCCTGTAATCCCAGCACTCTGGGAGGCCGAGGCGAGCGGATTGTTTGAGCTCAGGAGTTCAAGACCAGCCTGAGTAAGAGCGAGACCCCGTCTCTACTAAAAATAGAAAGAAGTTAGTCGGACAACTAAAAATATATAGAAAAAATTAGCCGGGCATGGTAGTGCATGCCTGTAGTCCCAGCTACTTGGGAGGCTGAGGCAGAAGGATCGCTTGAGCCCAGGAGTTTGAGGTTGCTATGAGCTATGCTGACGCTACGGCACTCTAGCCCGGGCAACAGAGTGAGACTCTGTCTCAAAAAAAAAAAAGAATAAATTCGTTCAGATCATCTGCTTCTGTACTAACAGTACCTTATTTTGGTATTAGTAACAGAAGAAAAAACTGGAATACTCCAATGAATATTGACTTCAAACACAAGCACTAATCCAAATAAAGTTATTTTTCCTTTGAATTAGCTTACAAAAAGCCTCCGTCTACATAAATCTATATAGAATCTGTTCTTTCTCTGCTTCTCAGAAATGTTTGGTGGAAGACTCTAAACATTTCCATGAGAACTGTAATTTAAATTTATAAAGAAACATATATACTATTTTAGAAAAAAAATTATTACTTTTTATTATCCCAAGTACTTTCTGCTGCATAATGATGTTCTGGAACAGGAAAGGAAAAAACATTGCAGCTGAAAGTTTTTATAGATTATTTTTTCTGTTTCCCCTTTGGTACCATGACAGTATGAACAGCTCTAGTCCCTGTGAAAATGGAGACACGTAGCATCTCTGTGAGCTAAAGGATACATTTAAGTGTCCAAATTCTTAGACTTCTGAAAGTCTAAGACTTTTATGCATGCATACTGTCACCATGTTTAGGTTCTCTTTTTGATGACATACACTGAGATTTGAGAAAAGTGGGAATTGTTTGCCTTGGTAAACAATTAGCAACAGTGGTAATATTTGTTAGTTTTGGAACTGGCCCAGTTGTATTTGTTGCATTTTAACTGTGAGGCATTATTTTGAAATCATATGGAATTTCTAGCTCAATAAATGATTGAATAGTCCTCATTGCTTTAACTTCTGAATTGCATGTATGTATTATTGACATATATGGTTTTTGTCCCCCACTTCAGGTATTCCATAAATAATAGCAACTCGTGGATTCCCAAGATGCGAGCTTTTTATGTAACGAGAGAATCCTGCAATTAATTCTGTTTCTTAATGTGATGACACTATTCATAGACTATGATTTTATTTATAAGCCACTTGCTGCATGATCCTTCAAGTAGACCTGTGGCTTGAAATAAAGAAAATGCAGCAGAAAGAATGCTATAGAAACATTTGGTGTGTTTTTTAACATCGACAGTTAAGGTTGGGCCGGCCACTTTTGGGGCTGATCCCCTCCATTACCGTAACATCCTGCCCCATTCCTTCTAAGATCTAGGAAGAAATCAGATCCTGTCCATTGGATTCTTTCATCAAACATATTGAAACGCTATTGGACCAGGATTTGATTTTCTGCACTACACGCACTTGCTTAAGGGGTTACTACCAACCTGTTAAAAATGAATGACTTTTTGTTTGTTTTTAAACAGACTGCCAAAAGTCTTCCTTTCTACATATTAGAAGCCCACATCTTCACTTAATGTTTAAATAGAAACCTCTACTAAATTATTAAAATGGAAATTTTAGTATTCTCATAGCTTGAATATTTTTCTGAAAAGTATTTGCCAAAATGGAAATTCTTCGGACATCGTACACGGTCTCACTATAATGATTTTCTGTCTGGATCTTATAGGAAAGGACACTTTCTTTTTTTGTTTCCATCTCTCCTTTTTATATTTTTTACTTTGTATGTATGACATACATACCTATATATTTTATATACTGCGGTTAGCCCATTTATAAATTAAGAGCACATTGTATTCAGTAGGTTACAACAGGGTTGGTCTTAAGTGGACTACTATGTACATTAATATTTTGGAGAAAACAGCTGTATACATTTTTGGGCAATGGTTATGCATATTATTTACCAGGAGAAATTTTTTCTTAAAGAGCCAACATTTAAAATTTAAGTATATATTCTATGTCAATCAAAGAAAATGTACTTTATTGTGACTTCAATTATATTTCTTATACCTTATAATTTTATTTAACTGTCTTACCTAAAAAAAGAAAAAAACTGTGGAATACTACAGTAAATACTGTTTTCAAACATCCTATGTTAGTTAGTGCTAGTCCAAATACAGTTATTTTTCCTTTGAATTAATTTTAGACATATTTGGGATCCTTTTGAGGAAATGAGAAAATGTCAAATAAGTTAAAAACCTAAGTAGAAAAAAATTTAGTAATGAATTTAAGAATCTCTTTCGATTCAAATTTTATCAATTCTTAATAAGAAATTGCTATCTGGGATAACAGAATTATCTCTACTTAACATACTATTACAACTGAAGAAAGCCTACCATTAGAAATGCCTTCCAATGAAACCAAGAATTTCTCAAAATACTTAATGTCACATGTTATAAGAAGTCACCTAATCTAATTTCTTAATGTCAACTTTTAAAATATTTTTGAGATTAATATGTTTTGTAGTAAATAACTAAGAAAAGATTGCCTCCTAGTTATTTTCTTCAGTGAGTGCTGAATGGGGAAATATTTATATGTTAATATAAAAGATTTTATTTTGTTTGGAATTAATGGTAGCTTTAATTACTGTTCTGATTGTGCTATTTCTAGATTATTGAATCTGCTGGGTTTTATTGATGCAGCTGCCACTTAAGTGACATAAATATTATAGAAAGGTACTGTGAAATGATCACTTTGTGGCAGGGGCACTTTTAAACATAATTATGTTTCTACAAAGGTAGGCTGAGTTCATTGTAAATAATTGTGAAAATCACTGTTCAAATAACTTTAAGATTACATTAATTTTTCTATGAATTACAAGGTTTATAAATGTTTGAAATTGTACATGTTGATATTTAATGATAAATTTACTTAAAATAAATTGACCCCTCATTCTTACTTGCATTTCTCATTTACAGACTAGAACTTAGGTCAAAGTTAAATTAAGAAAGCTGTTTCAGGAGATGTGAAACTCAGCTGTTAGTATTTGATCAGGCACACTCTAAAGAATTAACCAACAGCCGAAGTAGTTTCTGGAATAACGAACAGCTTAATCCATTCTATTAGAGTAGACTACACTGTCCCATCTAAGCATTTCCAGAAAATACCTTGGCAAGGTCAATGGCCATTATCAATAGGGTCTTGTGTGGCTAACCATGATCTTCCACTCGTTTCTTTCTGTGCCTCTGTTCCTCTCTACCTGGGATAGTCAGTGGAGTCCAGTATACCATTGTTCTCTCAACTCGATAGCCAATACCTCGATCTCTTGTTCTCCAACTAATCAATAAAATAAGTAATGCATCTTTGCTTCTATAATGATATTTTAGAATTTTTAGTGTGTTTCTTTTGAACTACCCAAAGCCCAATTCTTTGGGATATTTACGGTTGTTTTGTATCATATGGGAATGAAGAATGCTAGCTATTAGCATTGACAGTGGAGTAAATAGTATTCATCCTGTACTGTTTACCTAATAGTAAATAAGAGTACAAAAATTACTTTTAACTATAACTCTTAATAGCTTGTTTTAACTAATAATATTTAAATAATGAAGTTTACTTGATTCTTTGCTCTTGCAACCTAGCAACTTTTATAATAAGTTCACATAATAAACAATCAGAAAACTGACTTTTTAAACCAATCTAATTGCTACTTTGTCTATACTTTATAGGTACATATCTTAATTCTGGCCTTATAATTAAATATAAGATGTGCCAAATAATGTAGACAAAAAACTTACAAGTATTTCCTGAGATTTCCCTGTCATTAGATTTAATGGAAATGACCCATTAAATTAAATTTGAGGACTATAAAGAT